CTTTTGTTACAGAAGTCGCGGTTAACATGGTTGCGAGAAGGGGATGGAAATACAAAATTCTTTCATTCTTGTATAAATCGACGGAGGTTTAGGAATGAAATTCGATCGTTAGAGGTGGCTAATGAGAGGTATTATGAGCCTTCTGCTATTAAAGAGGCGGTCACAGGTTTTTATGAGAAATATTTTGAGGAGAGGTCTAGTAATAGACTTTTTCTTAACGATCCAACTTTTAAATTTTTGCAGGAGGATGAAGCTGCATCTCTAATTTTGCCTTTTACCGAGGAAGAGGTGAAAAATGCAGTGTGGGATTGTGACAGATCAAAAAGCCCTGGCCCTGATGGTTTCAATTTCAATTTCATTAAGGATTTTTGGGAGATAATCAAATACGATTTCATGGCTTTCATTCATGAATTTCATGCATATGGGAAGCTAGTTAAAGGTTCTAACAGTTCCTTTGTGGTCCTTGTGCCTAAAATAGATAACCCCCAAAAAGTGGAAGAATATCGACCTATCTCTCTTATTGGGTGCATGTATAAGGTGTTGGCAAAATTATTAGCAAATAGATTGAGGATAGTTATTGGATCAGTAATATCTGAGTGCCAATCTTCTTTTGTGAAGGGAAGATTAATTTTTGATGGTGTTGTGGTGGCAAATGAAATTTTAGAGGAAACAAAGAGGAAAAAACAAGCATGTTTATTTTTCAAGGTTGACTTTGAGAAGGCGTATGATTCTGTTAGCTGGAATTTTCTTCTGTTTGTGATAGAGCGAATGAGCCCTAGTAAATGGAGGAGGTGGATAGCAGAATGTTTATCTACTGCTCGGGTTTCAGTTCTTGTTAATGGTAGTCCCTCTAATGAATTTGGGGTTGGCAGAGGACTACGACAAGGTGATCCTTTAGCACCTTTTTTATTTTTACTTGTTGCAGAGGGTTTGAATTCTTTGATGACTAAAGCAATTCAGATGCAAGTTTTTAAAGGCTATTCTGCTGGTCGAGATGGTATTCCGATTTCTCTCTTACAATAAGCAGATGATACTATTTTTGTGGCCGAGGCCTCTTGGAAAAATGTTTGGGCCATTAAATCTGTTTTACAATTGTTTGAATTAGTAGCTGGGCCGAATGGCTACTTTTTTGAATTGCAAAGTTGGTCATTTTCCGTGTTCTTATTTGGGTTTGTTTATTGGGGCCAACCCCAATCGGTTGTCAACTTGGCAAACTGTTATTTCTAAGGTGGAAAAAAAGTTGACTAAGTGGAAAGGCAAACTCTTGTCTTTTGGCGGAAGACTTGTCCTGTTGAAATCTGTTTTAAATTCAATCCCAATCTACTTCCTTTCTTTTTTCAAGGCCCCCACAGGTGTGATCTCTCAGCTTGAATCTTTACTTAAAAATTTCCTTTGGGGTGGGGACGATGAACATAGGAAAATAGCTTGGGTGTCTTGGGATGATGTGTGTAAAGAAAAACATTATGGGGGTTTGGGTGTGAGAGATTTGAGATCTTTTAATTTAGCTTTATTAGGGAAGTGGAGGTGGCGTTTGTTAGTAGAGAGAGATTGTTTGTGGGTTAAAGTGATCACTTCTATTTATGGGGCAGTGACTTCTTTGAATAGGAGAGGTGGCCGTAAAGGGGTATCTAGATGGTGGTATGACCTGTGGAATATTGAAGAGGGTGCAACAATTACATGTAATTGGTTTTCTAAGGAGTGTGTGAGAGTAGTGGGGAATGGAAGGAACACTTCCTTTTGGAGGGATCCTTGGTGCACTACAAAACCTTTTTGTGAGAGGTATAGTAGGTTATTTTCTATCTCTAACAATAAAGACATGTCTGTGGCGGATATGAAATTATGTAGGGAGGCGGAGAGTGGGTGGAATTGGTGTTGGAGGAGACAATTATTTTAGTGGGAGCAATCTCAGTTATCACTTTTGATGATGGATCTAACTTGTGTTCAAATGGATGATACAAATGATGATTCTTGGAAGTGGTCAGCTGATCCAAGCGGACTGTATTCAGTCAAGTCAGGCTATTATATAATTGTTAATGCCTCAATTTCTGCAGAAATCCCCCTTCATAAGTTCATATGGTGTAGGCTTGTCCCTTCCAAGGTTTCTTGTTTTGCTTGGAGGGTGATGCTTGACAGAATCCCAACCAAAGTTAATCTTGCAAAGAGGAATTTGTTACTGTCTTCTAATTCTGGTTGTGTGTGGTGTAATCAAGGTCTTGATACCTCCTGTCATATATTTTTTGAATGTTCCTTTGCATACCAGGTTTGGATGTTGTGTTTGGAATGGTGTGGCCTCTTTGCTGCTCATCAAAATAATTTCATATCTCATTTTTAGCAGTTTCTAGGCCTTCCGAGTTGTGGTGCTAAAAATCAATACAAATGGGCGGTGATCTGGTTGGCTTCAATTTGGAGTATTTGGTTGGCGAGAAATGAAGCTATATTTACTAATAAATTCACATCTTCAAATGATCTGATCGAATTGATAAAACTACGCTCTTGGAAGTGGCTGAAAGCTAAAGATCTTGATTTTTACTATTCGTTCTCTTGTTGGTTAAGGAAACCTGCTGCATGTCTTAATCTTTATTAAGTTAACTGTATATGGGTTGGAGTACCCCTTGTACTCGCTTTTAATATATTTCATTTTGCCTAGCAAAAAAAAAAATCTTTTAGAAAGTTTAGACAATTATCTAAAACTCCTATGTTGACCTCAAAAGTTAATTTTGTCATCTACTATTTTTAGAAATTATAAAATCATATTGTTTCAGCTTAAATCTAACAGTTAGACTTCCGCTCACTAATTTGATCATAGCTTGAGTTCTAGAACCCTTTTTTAGGCGATTCCAACAGAATTTGAAATCTAACATCTAAGGTTACAACTTTCACAAAGTTACAAAAGACAATTTGAACTTTAATAGGGTGCACAATTATGCATAAATTTAGCATGGGTATGCTTATGTAAGCACTGGCGTGCTTCACAACAAGCACAATCATGCTACTAGAACAAAACTTTTTAACCACTTGAAACTTCGTGTGAAGCACAACTTTGACCTTTTAAACTCTATTTTTGCACTGATTCACGATTAAAGCCTAGATCTATACAATTAACACCAATTACACACTCTAATACAAAGATTATTTGTTACTTACTAATTTAGTATACTTTATTCTTAGGGTCTCATAGGAACCTACATACACTCATAGATTCACAATTACAAGCATTTGTACAAATTATAAACATGAATATCAATTAATATAATTAATTTATCCTAATATCTTATTCTTCCTATTCACATTTGATTTTTTTATAATTTGCTTTGTATTAATTTTTAAGGTTTCCCCAAAAACCCATAGACACTTATAGATTCATAAATGAAGACATTTCTTTCTATAAGATGTTAATGGTTATCCGTAGCAAAAGTCACATATAAATAACACTAACTTGTGTGCAACCGAAACCTTTGGGAAGATGAGCCACATAGGGAAAACACATTTGTCTTAAAATTCTGTTTAAGCTTTTTTTTTTTTTTTTCATATGAAAGCACTTTATAAATTTTTTTTGCTAGGCATCTAAGAAAAATTCACTTTTTTTATTTGTAACACTGTACGTTTGGTCTAACCGTTAGAAAAAACTTTTTTTATTATTCAATTTTGTAATCCTTTCAAGGTTGTTACCCAAAAAATCCTTTCAAGGAAAGTCATATTGACATTTTCACCGAAAAATAATGATCAATGTGAAAGAACTTTCATTGTTTGCAGCTAACGGTTAAACATACGACAATATGAAAGGGTCATAATCCCACCGTTCAACTAAAAATGACTGTTCCCCGTAATTGATATTGGTCTCTTGGTAGCATTTAAAACGGGTCAAAGTCTACAACGCTATAAGTAACAAAATGAGCATCTAATTGTAGGCGTAGTTATGAAGTGTAGCCCTACCACAATACACAACTCTCCAACCATAAAATTTTTTTTATAATCTTTTTTTAATTTGCATGCAAGGTTAGGGATCAAATCAAACTATTTACTAACTATGCTAGACATTTTTGGTCTCATAAGATGTTTTAATAATGCATATTATAAAGAATTAATCACCTATACACTGTTAGTATAAAAAAATTTTACACTGACAATCAATTATATTCTTTAACTGTGTCATGTCACTGTAATATTTTTAACAGTGACATGACACAATTAAATGATATAATTGATTGCCAGTGTAAAAAACCTTTACACTGGCAGTGTATAAGTGATTAACTCTATTATAAAACAACTTATTGAAGTTTGAACATTGAACCAAATAGCGATACAAGGCTTCAATTAGCCAAATTATCGAGTCGCGAACATGGAATTTTGAAGAATCACGAGTTTCATGTGCTTTCCTTGCTTGCTTCCATTAACACCTCCCAAGATGAGCCTAATTGATTTGCATGCTCACATGTTTCCCATTCAGTAGTGATCTAGCATTGGTTGGCACACACGCAACATGAGAACGAGAGCCAACACAACACTTTGCAACCACCTCACAACCAAGATGATAGATTTCCGCTCATTCACGGAATCCGAGTGCTTAAATCTTTACCCACATTTAGAAACTTGCACTTTACCATATTTTATAACTTGAAAGCACTTAAAACAGAAGAATAAACAAAGGGGGAATTATGTGGGATCATTTTGTTCTCTTATCTTTTAAGGGTTCTAAGCCAACATGTATATCAACAATTGGCAATTGCCACGTGCACATTCTTCATTAACAACCAGGTAGAAGCTATAGCCAAAAGACAGTGCTTACTACGAGACAAAACAATACAGATGGAAACTTCATCTATCGCTATCTTCTTTATATATAATGCTGGATAGAGAAAAGCAATGCTAACACTACTCACATGCTTGCCAAGGATTGACGTCTTGGCCATGTGGTACCACAAATGCATGCTTAACACTAACATTTTGGGAACACTGCCAAACCAAAACTGAGGTAGGTAGGTGAATAAGAAATTAAGAAATAAGAACAATATATGTAATTAACTAGTAATTACATTCTTCTTCTTTATATATAATATAATATAACATAATTCTTTACTTCTTTGGTAAAATCCGCCATAGCTAAAGGCCTAACAGCAATGGTAGAGTATCCTCAAGAAAATCTACAACAAAGCTTTTATGGTATCATATCACTACACCTGGTTACAATCTCAACATAAAGCTGTGCATGTGCTACTCTTGTAAGGCCAATGAATAAAACAGAAAGCATATGGAGAATTGTGAACACAAATTAGCAAAACTTGTAAGACACTTATGTAAATATACAGTTAAAAAAGGATGAGGAGAAAAAAAAAAAGAAAAAAAAGAATTACATTCACGAGTGCCAGATTCCACTCAACATACTGCGGAACCGGCTTGTGGATAGCTTCTTGGCGAGTTTCTTGGCATCAGAAGAAACCTCAGCCTCCGCAAGTTTTTCTATGTTCTTGGCATATCCGGAACCAACAATCTTTTTCCTCCCACTGTTGCAACTCGTTAAGGACATTAATATAGAGATTAAGAACTTTTTATTACCTGAATTCCCCTCCTCTGGATCAAGCAACTGCAGAAGAAGGGCTATATTATGGTCATCCTGCACAAACCTCTTTCTGTTTCTTGGAACCATAACCATGCCGGAGAGTGCCTCAGCTGCCATTTCTCGAACTTCAAATGACTTTGCATTAAGAAACTTGACAAACTCTGGCATGAACCCTGCATCCCCCAATGCTTTCTTAGCCTCCTCGGATGTTCCACACAACCTATAAGCCACCTTCAAGGCCAACTCCTGGATCGAAACCTCGCCGTTTCGAACATAATATATCAATTGATCCACAAAGCCATAACTCATCAAAACAGCCACAGAACTAGGTGAGGAAAAACACAAATCCTCAACAGCCCTCATTGCCACCTCCCTGGTTTTACAAGAATAAGACCACTTAGGATCCAAAACACGCAACAAGGCACGGACTCCACCCTCTCTAACCACCATCTGCCTAACCAACTCATCCCCAGAGGAAATACTCAAAAGAAACCCTATCGAATTCACCTGAATCGCTTCCTCCTTGGACCTCACAAGCCTAATGAACGTCACCACAGCACCCTCATCAACCATGAACCTCTTAATCTCCTCAACACCAACGAGATTCCTCAACACCCCACAAGCAGGCCCAACCAAATCACCACCAGAGTCAGCACCACCACAAATCTTCAACAACACACTAACCCCCCCATGAGCCGAAACGCACCAAGCATTATCCGAATTCTCAGTCAACTTCATCAAACACGTTGCGGACGCAACCTTCCCCATCTCACTCCCACAATCCAAAACCTTAACCAACGGCGCAATCACCCCCGCAGTGACCAAAACCCCTTTGTAAGAATCAAACCCTGCAACCACAGAAACCACCTTAGCACTCTCTTCCTGAATCTCCACCTCACTAGACCCCAAAAACCCCACTAACAAATGAACCACGTCACCCACATCCACAATCACCTTCACGTACTTCTCATCCTCCAACACAACTTCTAGAATGTTCCGCAAAGCTTGTCGTTTCATACCCAAATCCCCAATCTTCATCCTCGTCGTTAAGTCCCTCACGTAGAACCTCATATCCTCTCTCGAAGCGCCAAGACTCGGTTTTGACACCACGAGCGCATACCCATTTGTCAGAATACCCGTTTTGTATATCTCCGAGAGCCTCTTCGCGTGCGCATCGAGCTTCGCGAACGCCACGTCCAAATCGCTCTGCATCAGAAGCTTCCCGCTGTAGGACACGTCCACGCAGCGCCGGCACAGATCGTGGCACTCCTCCACGGTGGTCGCCGCCGCCGCCGCC